CATCAGAAGTGGATACTTGGCCATGCTATTGAAAATCTCCATTCTTTCTATTTTTGGCCAAATGTGTGTAATTGAACGTGTGTGATTTGTCTGAATACATTCTTAATGTAACTCCACTGCACCTTACCTCTCTGAAGCTGTTTCCTTTTCTATAAAATGGGGGCAATCACAGTACTACTTCATCAGGTTATTGTTTAGATCAAGTAAGACAAAATGTAAAGAATTTGAAATTGCTGCCAGGCATAGGACATGATCCACCTCCTTCTCTTCAACTTTCCATAACTAGCTGTGTGGCTTTGGGCAAGTCAGTACCCCCTCTGGGTCTCAATGTTCTCAAGCAAAATGTGAGAGCTGCATTAGATGATTTCTAAGACTCCTTCTGGCTTGAAGCCTTTAGGACAGTTCTGTGATCCAGATATTTACATGCAGCCGACCTTTCTATGACTGCTGATGCTTACAAGGCTTTTCCGGGACTGCCTTACCTAACTGGTAAGGATCACATCTCAATATAGAAACCCTCTGCACACTGTAACATGCTAAAGCCTTGACAATGAAACATGCACCTGACTTTTTCCACGTCAGCAGAACAAAGGTACATAACAGCTGCACTTGAACAAGCACAAAGTGCTCACTTAACTCTCCCTCCTATTCCAGTCCTTCTCAGCCACTGCTGATGACCAAACCTTACCTGTGATGGGAGCAAAGTCCAGCCCCCTCCCTCTGAGGGACACACACACAGGGTGGGTAGCCACTGTCTCTGGCCTTGGGAGAATTCCTTTGTTTTAGGAGGCAAGGGTATAAAATGAAATGAACTTTGGAGTCAGGCTTCGATGGAATTATCTCAGATCCTTTACTAGCTAAAAGTTAGATGAGTTAACCTTTTGAAGCCTCCAATTCGCAGTGTGTTAGAACTGAGGTAAACAGACCTTTTTGGCAGGGCTGTATGAGTTACATCAGAAGCAGTCAGAGCCCTGGGCAGGGCCACAGGATTAGTGGAAAGATGTCCCCTTCTAGGCTGACACAGACCTGAGGTTCAAATCCACTTCTACCAGTACTGTTAAACTGGCCACTGCTTAGCCTCTCTGAGGCTGCACCACATCAACAAAACAGGGATATCACTATTTACCTCAGAGGATCGCTATGCTTAGACCTGTGCCAGTAACCCAATGCTGGCTCCCTCCTCAATTCCCATCTCTGTGCTAATCTGCTTCCATGCTTGGCTCAAAGCAGTGGTATGGGCAGAAACACCTCTCATCTGGTTAGACCTGTAGATTAGGCAAATAGCACATACCAACCCCTAGGCTTCTGAAACTGTTGGCCCAGCCTCTGCCCGTGAGTCTTGCCTTGCCAGGGCTGCTCTTTCACAGTAGTCGCCCTGGGAGGTTTGCTGGCTGGCATTTACGGCTTATCCTGGCCAAGTCTGCATCCCTTGAAGGCAGGAAATGTGGCTTTTTTCTCTCTGCATCTCTCACTGGAGGGCTCAGCAAATGTTTCCTTTTAGAAACTGCTTTCTAAGAAGGCAGTGCCAGGACAATGCAAGGGCAGGGTGGGGTGTGGGGTTCCTTTGCAAAGGAAGAGATGCACTTGTAAAAGGTTCAGAGGCAGATGATATGGACTTAAACTTCGGCTCTGCCACTCGCCAGCTAGAAGAGCTGGGCAGTCACTATACCTCTTAATCTGGGCTGGTTCCATGTCTGTAAAATAAGGATCACAGTACCTACTTACCACAGTGCCTGGCTCATAAAGAAAAATATTCCATAAATACTAACCACTTATTATTATTACAAACTATAATAATGATAGGCTAACACTTACTACTTTTTTTTTTTTTTTTAATATGCCAGGCATTGTTCTAACTACTTAAATATATTAATTAACTGAATCCTGCTACAACTTGGAGGTAGGCATTATTATCATTTTATAGGTACTGTAAATAAGGATAAGGAGGGTCAGAGAAATTAAATAACTTCCTTCAAGTTCATAGAGCTAGTTAAGATACTCAATAAAGGGCAGCAATTGCTGTTCTGAGCCCACAACGCATGGAACACAATCTCAGAGACCTCAAGATGGACTGCAGAGTTTCTGGGTCTGGACTAGTTCCAGTCTTGTTACCGCAACTGCCGCAAAGGACACAAACTAATCAGTGTTGTAAATAGAGTTAACATAATATATTTATTTTAAGTGCCATTCATGCATATCAGTTCTGGCAGCAACAATCCTAATGACACTTGGAATACCTCTTTACAGCACTAAACAATTACAAAGAAAGGGTGCCATTCATCATAGAGGCAAAATATGAAACCGTGCAATAGCAAAACTGTAGAAACATTAAAACACTGACTGTCCAACAGCAGTACAGAGAGCAGGTTGTGTTTACACAAAAAGCCAATGCATTTTCATCACGTATATACAATATAGATATGTACACATCACCCTCTGAATTAACAATATCAAAATACTCTATTCCATTTGAAATAATCCCCGGATTGATTCCCTCCCTCTTCAAAAGACATCTGCGAGACATGTATTTACAAGAACACACAGGAATACATTTACATTTCAAAAACTGCCACAAATGCCAGTCGGATTATTCTCCTGGACAGAGTGCCCCATCTGATTGCATTTACTCTTCTTTCCTCCTAAAGTCTTGTCAACTTAAGCCCAAGACAGAACTTGCTCTGCAATAATCACTACTTCCTGAAATGGCCACTAGAGGGACTTTGTGGACCTCCGCAGGCAGCCCTGTCTGGCCGGGTCCACTGAGAAGGCCTGCTGTCCTGGAGCTCACAGACCACTGGGATCACAGCAGAGTAGGATGGGTCTGGGTGGAGGTCCTGCCTCTAGGGCCATCCTTGTTATATTCTCATAAAAATATTGATCACTGCAAATCAGTAAATGATTGCCAAATGGGAAATTTGCTTCACACGATTTATAAAATCTTCATCAATGCTTTCTACCCAAATCACTCAGTAAGAGAGCTCATTCCAATACTCACATTGTTTAAAGTGCATATTGCTACTCAAGCAATTCAAACAGTTTAAAGACAGCTAGTTTGGTATCTAGAACAGTGGCTTGAGCAGACTACTGAGAAACTCTCCCTTTTCCTCAGGCTTTTACTCTGCAGGCTGCTCTCTCATCTTGCTCTGATCCTTACAAGAGGGGCCTATTGGCTGCCTTTCCAGAATCTTCCAATTTTTGCTGATCTAAGGGGCTGGAACTGAGCTTCCTTTTTCATGCCAAGCAGGGTCCAAACAATGAAGAAACATAAAGACCTTCCTTTCTCCCCAATTTCACCAGCCCTTACTAGTGGCTGGCTTCCCAGTGATTCATTCAAGGCAACACTCCATTAAAATACACATACACACACACACACACACATTCACAACACAATCACTCACATATAGAGAAACAAAGATGTTTGTTTAGTGTGAGTTACTTAACCACAGAATCACTAAGGCTAATTAAAGTAATCTGAGCATGGCTGAAAGAGACCAGTGATGGTCCACAGCAACCAGCAGCAGTTATTACCTCTTGATTTGATGAACATATGTATCTCCCATTAGAATGAAGGGGGAAAAAATCGGGGAGGGGAGAACCAATTAAAAATTTATTCATTTAAAAACTGTGTTTCTTGTTTTATTATAAAACTAAGATAATCTATTCAAAGTAGCTGTGATACAAAATAAAACCACCAACTGAAAAATAACTCTAAAAGGCAGGCTGCATTTCGAAGAAAGTGACCAAATGTCACACATACACAGATACAAAGGACCTATATGACAAGAGAAACAGCAGGCCACTTGACAATCACTACATAGAAGAGAGAGGCAACAGAAATCCATGTGTCCCCCTACCCTCATTGCAGTCTACTGAAATGGAGAGCGAATGAGGAGGGAAACTTGCTGTATAAACACTGCCCTGCTGTTGCCCAAATGAACTCTGATTCAAATCCCAGGAAAACCTTATTTAGCTACTAAGCCTCAACCAGTAGGAATGCTACGAGAAATATGCTCACAGGGTAAAAGGAGAATGATAAAGGAAATCACACAATCTCTCTGTCTTGTCTGTTAACTCTCATCAAGAAAAATAATTTGATGCTTTCAGACTGCATTTCTCCTTAATGAACCCAACAGGAGCTGAGCATTCATGGAAGGTAGTAATAAATATTAAAGTAACACTTGAAAGTAATAAATACATAAGTGAATGTGGAGCCAATGATTTGCTTAAAAAGCCAAACAATGCCCAGCTTCTAACTGATCAAATAAATTTTAGAACTGTTACAACACAGACTTAGGAAAACAGACGTTGACCACATACAACATAAACTCCGTAATCCCCCAAGCATGAAAACCAATGTGGTCAGCTCCTTATGTTGCTCAGGAACAACAAGCCCCTTTGGATTTTTTGGAGAGTATCAAACTCTGGGTTCCTTGACTTACTGAATAGAAATCACCACCCACATTTCTGAAAAACATTAAAAAAGAGGAATTGGGCTTTGGAAGAGTCTGTTTCCTTTCAGTTGTTTATATCAGTGAAAAGCATCCTGCAGAAAATAGCCTAACAAGGAAAAAAAACTCACAGTAACTTTCTTTTCAAGACATAATAATCCAATTATTAAAAAAAAAAAAACGAAGGCTTTCAGTAATTTTTGTACATATATTTACACATGTGGATCTATAAACTGCTTGCAGCAAAATAGGCTCTGTCTGAAAAATCAGTCTGGCACTTGTGGTCAACATCAAACTGACACAAATATGCAAAAGCCGTCCAAATCACACAACAGTTAGGAGCTACATAGGGCAGCTGGCAGGGAGACAAACATGTAGTACTTGTTTGGGTCAGATAAAAGCAGTAAGTTATCCAGCTAAAATCTTTTCGATTGTCTTCAAAAGAAATTTTGATAGCATCAGTAAAGTGATTAGCAACTGGATTCTCTTAAGCCTTTCCCATCACTGCACAGAAAGGTGACGTTGGGGTTTGGTGCCTTGCAGAAATAAGCCCTACACAATTGAATCCCAATCAAAGTCATCCTGGATGTCATCTGGAGGCAGGGAGCGCCGCATCTGGAAGGCTTGGGAAGGCATCATGTGCTGCTGGTTCATGGCTCCATGGTGGCCTGTAAGGAAGGAGGCAATGCCAGTAGGAACTTGGAAGAAAAAAGAAGGACTAGGCTAAACTCCTACTGAGCCCTTCATATGTGCCAGGTACTCAGCAACCATTATCTCCCTAATCTTCCCTTAAGTCTTCAGTAAGTCTTATGATCCTCATTTAGGATTTAAGAGGATGAGAAAGTTACCCAGGGTCACACAGCTAGTAAGTGATAGAGATGGGATCTGAACTCAGTTCATGTGACTCCACAACCCACATTCTTTCCATTACACCAGGATGCAACAAGGAAGGCATAAGAGTGCAAGTGTACCCGAGTGCTGATGCAAACCACTTCTTTTTACAGTCTGTTCTCTCCAGCATATGAATTAGCTCACATAAGAACGGTAAATAGGAGAATGATAACTGTATATAACACTGAAATCACACCAAGTCATACTGAATTTTCCCCAGCAAGTAAATTTTTGTGTCACCAAGTAACAGTAGGTGAACACAGCGAACATGAACATAGCTGAATATAGGAAACCCTGGAAGAACACAGTGCCTGTACAAGACACCCACTCCCTCCATGCTCTTTTTCTTGGTCAGTGTGGCCATGTGTTCCATTTGTGTTCTCTAATTTGGTGCATTCTGCCCTTGTCTCCATAGCTAGACAGAGCCCCCCTTCCAAACCAACATCCTCTTTGTTTTTGCTAGTACAGTGATTACAAAGCTGAGTACTCTGTCACTAATCTTATTATTCTCTTAAACTCTGTAATTTTAGCAATTTACAAAATGGTAAGGTTTTCATAAATGAATAAATGCTTGTCTATTTTATTATTTAACACAAACTTGTAAACTCATCACTATGTGCCAGGTACTAATTTAAGTGCTTTTCACGTAACGCTCATTTGATATTTCCAATCACAGTTGGGTAGTGTTGTTATACCTACTTTACAGACAGGGAAGATGAGACCGGAGAGTTAGGGAGCCTACCCACCATCACAGCTAAGTGATGAAGCATCAGGATTCAAGCCCTGGTAATCTAGCTCCAGAGTCCTAACCACCGTTATCATGACTCCTACAAGTTACTGGTGACAGCCTCAGGGCAGACTACATATACTTTACTGCTTTCCCTTCATCACATCTCACCTGGTCTCAACTGTCTGATACACAGCTCTTTGGAGTTTTAAATTCTCACCCCACCCCATCATCTTTAGTCTTTTTCTCATATTGCCTAAGTAAAGGGTGGTGATATATAAGAAAAGCAGTGGACTCTGAATCCAGACATTTGGGTTTGAGTCTTGGTTTGGTCACTTTCCCAACTGAGTGTCCTTGAAAATGTTATCCCCTTCAGAGCCTCTATTTCCTCATCCAGGTTACCCTTAAGACCCCTTCCAGTCCTAACGGTGTATCCTGTTTCCCTGCTAAATGTATCATAGCCCACATTTCAGAAGCTAGTAGGAAAAAGTTTCAGCACTTTAGTAACTTCTGAAACTTACCTCTTCGATGAGGCACTTTTTGAAACTGTTGTTCAGGGAACTCCATTAGAGTGACTGGGGTAGAATCTTTAGGAGCTAATCTAAGTAGGCTCCTAAAGTCTTATGGAAATAAAATAGCCTTAAGGAAACATAAGACCCTAGGACAGTACTATGTTCATGGACCTCTTAGAGAAGCAGGACAGTAATTAGAATCATAGAACTTTGGGTTAAAAGAGACTTTAGGTGATATGGTTCAAATACCAACTAGCATTAGAATTTCTTCATTAGCACTGGAACTAAGTAGCTAAGTAGCTATCCACTTAGAGGAACCAGAGGTAGCCTAGTTCACTATTGGGTTGAACAATTTTAGCTGTTCAAGATTAAATTGTGAATACCAACATACACACGCGCACACACACACACACACACACACACTACCTGCAATCGTTGTTCCTGGAGTGCTGAGTGTCTGTGGGATATGAGGATAACCAGGAGGTGGCATCACTGAAGGAGGAAGATTCTGTCTAGAGTCTATGTACAAATTGCCTTAATCAGATCGAAAAGCAGAAAGAAGGAAAACTGTTACTACATAGTAAAACAAATCAAGCGTAACATATTAATGGAATTGTTAGCTAGAACTAAATAGGTAAGGTGGGGAAGAAAAGGGAAGGAAAAAATGACTCTTTTCATATGCTAAGACTCTGCCAAAAGGTGGTAATGGCCTTTTGAACAGGACACCAGACTGGGTGTGAGTACACTGGTACTAATTCTAGCTCTCCTACTAAGTCTCTATAAGCTCATAGGCAAGTAATGTCTGCCTGCTGTTGTCATGTACCTCATTATAGTTCAAAAGCATTTCATATTCATTACTTCATCTGAGCCTCCCACTAACCCACAGTGAGAGCAAAACAGGGATTAGCCCCCTCTTACAGAAGAGGCAACTGAGGCTCAGAAAGGCTAACCTGACCTGCCCAACAATATGGCAATTTGACAGAGGGCTAGTGCTAGAATCCTGACCTCTTCAATTATAGGCTCTTTCTACGAACTATTGTCTCTATGGCCCTGAATTTCTCACCCTCAAAGTAGACCTAACCATGTGTGACCTAGCTGACTGCATGTCCTAGTGACTGTGAGTCATTAAGGAACAGCAAAGATCTACAAAAGGTAAAAGAGCTATACATAGCAAAATGAACATTTAAAACGATGTTATTTTGAGTAAGGAGATGGGAAACATAGATTTCAACGGCATTTCAGAAAGTTCTTAATATATTTTGCTTGACAGGAGCCATTAAGTGTTAACATCTTTAAAATGTCAATTATACTGTGTCATAATGCACAACAGGCAGTGAGGGGAATAAACATTATGACCCCTAGTTCACATTATAAAAACATCTGAAATTTTGGAAAAGCTGTTTTCCAGAGCTTCATACAAATTTTACTAGCATCTTAACAATACTATAATGAAACTAAAAACAGCAACCATTTTCCCAAGGAAACTAAAAAGGGAAGAAAAATCTTCTCTTCAAGGCAATGCACGGTGCATTTGGCTGGACCAGAGAAGAAATAGGGCCAAGAACAGAACCCAGGACCTCTGATCCCCAGACACTGTATCCCAAGATGACATTCCCTTTTAATAATAAATTTTATAATCAGAATCAAGGTCTTTAATCAGTTAACTCAACTGATAATAATTCAAAAATGGTGGCAGCAGTACATCAACAGAGAACTGCCAGAAATTCAAGCCAGATTCCTAAGAGGATGTGGAAATGAGGGAAAGCACTGCTGATGTCAGATGGATTTTGGCTGAAAGGAGAGAATACCAGAAAGATGCTGAATATCAAAAAGATGTTCACCTGTGTTTTATTGACTATGCAAAGGCATTCAACTGTGTGCATCACAACAGATTACAGGTAACTGTAAAGAACATGAATTCTAGAACATTTAATTGTGCTCATGGAGAACCAGCACATAGAATAAGGGGTCCTTTGAACAGAACAAGGAGATAATGCACGGTTTAAAATCAGAAAAGGTCTGAATCCTTTCACCATGAGTATTCAATCTGTACGCTGAGCAAATAATCTGAGAAGCTGGATTAATGAGAAGAACATGGCATCAGGAATGGAGGAAGACTTATTAACAACCTGCAATATGCGGATGATACAGCCTTGCTTGCTGAAAGTGAAGAAAGCTTGCAAGCACTTATTGATGAAGATCAAAGATTACAATATTCAGTATAGATTAAAAAAAAAAAAAAAAAAACCTAACCCACTGCCATCAATTTGGCTCTGACTCATAGCGATCACTCCTTGGGTTTCCCAGGAGGTATCACTACAGAAGTAGACTGCCCAACCTTCCTTCTGAGGAGTGGCTGGTGGGTTTGAACCGCCAGCCTTCTGGTTAGCAGTCAAGTCCCTTAGGCACTATGCTACCAGAGCTCCTTTCAGTATGGATTACACCTCAACAAAAAGAAAACAAAAATCTTCATAAAGGGACCAAGAAGCAACATGATGATAAAGAGAGGAAATAATTGAAACTGTCAAGCATTTCATGTTACTTGGATCCACAGTCAACATCTATGGAATGGAAGCAGAAGTCAAGAAATCAGACATCATATTGCACTGGGCAAATCTGCTGCAAAAGACTTGTCTAAAGTGTTTTTTTTTTTTTTTAAAAAAAAAAAAAAAAGCTAAGATGTCACTTTGAGGACTAAGGTGCGCCTGACTCAAACTGTGGTATTTTCAATTGCGTCATACACATGTGAAAGCTGGACAATAAATAAGGAAGCCTGTACAAGAATTGATTCCCTTGCATTATGGTATTGGTGAAGAACACTGACAATACCATGGCCTGTCAGAAAAATGACAAATCTGGTTTTGGAAAAAATACAGCCAGAAGGGAAGATGGCAAGACTGTCTCACATACTTTGGACATGCTATCAACAGGGACTCTGGAGGACATGTTAACATCTTCATAAAGTAGAAGGTCAGCAAAAGAGAAAAAGACCCTCAACAAGATGGAATGACACAGCTGCTCCAACAGTGGGTTCAAATATAGCAACGACTGTGAGCATGGTGCAGGATCCGGCAGTGTTTCATCCTGGCCATTGTTTCATAGCGTCACTGAAAGTTAGAACCAACTCAAAAGCACGTAACAACAATACACTGATAATATTAATAATTTAAGAAGAAAAAATTCTACTAGTTAGAGTGCTAATATTATGGGGACTTGGGGACGTAGGTAAATCCTATACTTAGATGCTGATCAGCCTTCACATACAGGCATGGTGCACCTTCTAAAGACTGCTCCAGGCTGGCAGGGCCATACCATTCTGAGTTAAATGGTCACTGATCTTCCCAATTTCCTATTTCTGTCCTGCAAACCATCTACTCTCATTAAACCTCAAGTTACCATCAAAAAACAAAACTAATTTTACTGCAGAGAATCTACTTGCACATTTCTTTTTTCATTTCTATTTTATGGCTTAGTGTGGTAGTTAAGGTTGTGTGTCAATTTGGCTGAGCCTGGTTTTGAGTGGCTGGGCAGCTGGAGGTAGTTATTCCCCATGATGAGACTGGCAGTCAACTCCATGGTGGAATCTGCCGTGAGCAGCTGAGTGGCTGCTTTAGGGATGTGGCCTGCTTTCAATATGTAAGGAGAAGCTTTAGGATTGGTTTAGCTTTTTGGCATGCTTGAACCTTGCATGTAGCCGATTCTTCATTCAGTAGCCTGCCAGGCTCTGCTGATCTTGAGACTTTCAATGGACGTGAATCAATGACCTGCCGTGTTGTTTGGTAATATTGAGACTGTGCCTTTTTATCTGCCAACCTTGGGTTTGTCAGCCTCAGCAGCCAGCAGCTGTCTGAGTGAAGAAGAGCCTCCAGCTTCAGTGGGCCAGGAGCATGAGACAGAGCTGAAGCTCAAGGGTGAGGGGCTTTAACCTAGGCCCTAGAACGTGGCACTTTGAACTCAGACTTAAAGCCTCCAAACTGTAAGAGAATAAACTCCTGTTTGTTAAAACCATCCCATCTGTGGTATATTCTTGTCAGAATGGCAGTAGGTAACCAAAATATTTAGTAATTCTTGCCTTAAAGGGGGTGAGATTATGGTAATAAATACATACCCAAACTAAATAAACCGTCTTAACTTTATAAAGTTGTTATATTCCTAATACTTTTAATTTTCATATAGAAATTTTCATTATTCTTCATTTCTGCCATGTTCTCATTATAGTGTCTAAATAATGAGAAACTGCCTAAACTTTCTACATAAGAAATTGACTTCAATGAATTTCCCAATGATTTTTGAGATCCTGTAATGTTCAGAAAATGATTATGGGAATTAGAAAATTAAAACACAATAGATTTACTAAAAGGAGACTCCTTTCAAATGCCCCTTTTCCTTCTTTCCTTCCTGCATTCATTCAAGTATTTGTGTCAGGCATTGCTCTAAGAACTAAGGATCCAGCAATGAAAAAACCAACTCCCTGCCTTTATGGCACTTATACTTGGGAAAAGGGGAAGGGCAAGGAGTTGGGAAGACAAACAAACAAAATAAATGAAATAGTATGTTATATATGCTATGGAGGAAAACAACATGGGGAGATTGGACAGGGATGCTGGATAGTGAGTTCCATTTAAATAGGGTGGTTAGGGAAGGCATCATTTGAGTAGGGGCTTTGTGAGAAAAAAAACTTGAAGGAGAAAAATGGGTAAGTCATGTCCAAGGAAGACCAAGGAAGAGTTGATGCTTTTGAGTGGTGGTGTTGGCAAAGAATACTGAAAGTACCTTGGGCTGCCAAAAGAATGAACAAACCTATCCTGGAAGAAATGCAGCTGGAATGTTTCTTTGAAGTCAGAATGGCCAGACTTCATCTCACTTACTTTGATCATGTTGTCAGAAGGGACCATTTTCTGTAGAAGGATATCATGCTTGGTAAAGTGGAGAGTCAATGAAAAAGGGAAAGGCCCTCAATAAGATGGATTGATACAGTGGCTGCAGTGATGGGCTTAGGTATACAGCAAGGATTGTGAGGCTGGCACTGGACCAGGCACTGTTTTATTCTGTTGTACGCAGGGTCGTTAGGAGTCGGAGCCGATTCAATGGCACCTGACAACAACCTGGTAGAAGACCACTCCATTTAGAAGAAATGAGTACAAACGCTCTGAGGTAGGTAGAGTATGTCTGGGATGTTCAAAGAATAGCAGGGAGGCCAGTGATACTGGAGCAGAGAGGGGGAAAGAGAGCAGGGGATAAGGTCAGAGAGTAATGGGGAACCACACTGCATAGGGTTGTATTTGCCACAGTAAGGTCTCTGGTTTTTACTGAGAAAGACAGGCACCAATGGAGGGTTTGGAGCGAGAAAAGATACGATCTGACTTCTGTGTTTCACAAAATCTCTCTTATCCTGCAAAGTTCAGCTTAAATGCGTATTCCTCTATGAAGTCTACCTCCCGAAGACATTTACATTCCTTTCTCTCCCCAGTGAGCTTATACTCTACAACAGAAGTACAGCCCTCATCATACTATATTTCTTGGTAGACCTATCTCACAGATCAGATTGTGAGCTCTTTGAGATCAGGGGATATTTTAGAATCATCTCATTTATTCTAAGTGACCAATATGTAGGTAGGCACAGAAAAGGAATGAATAAATATTTGTTGAATGAATGCATACCTATCCATATTTAATGACCTTTAAGCAGAACAAATTAGTAATAGCACAGCTAGAGGATTTAAATGTTGTTGGGCAAGACAAATTATATACACAGCAAAAATGATTTAGGAGAAAGTGGGACATTGTGTTCTATGACAGTCTTTTTCTCCTCCTTTCCACACTAATACACTAATGCCTGGGTTCTCTAAGAAGCTCAAGGAGGTGTTCACCAAAGGGGGAGCCTTGAAGATAAGAACAGCAAAGAAAGCTTAAAGGATATGAAGAGGCTATATTCTGAGAGTCAAGACCCTTACCTGAATGAACTGTGTAACTCTGGATAAGTCACTCTCTCTCTGGATTACGTATAGTTTCCTTATCTGTTAAATAAAGGGATAAAACTAACAGCTCTCTGAAGTGTTCCCTTGTACTACACTTCTAAGAAAATGTGACAAAGAGTTACTGGAGGACAGAGATGAGGAAAGTGTGATAACTGGATGGGTTTGATAAATACGAATGCAAAATAAATACATAAATGGATAGATAAATAAAAGGCTTACAGGATTTCACTTTTTCCACTAAACTGCTTTGGAAAATATTGTTATTTTTCATTAAAGTGTTAATTATGTAACATATAGTGAGATCATTATTGTTATTTTTAGTAAATTAGTAAATAAACAATTTAAGAATTTCTGCTTAATATATTAATTTCTAATATAATAAGTATCAGTAGGTAAAAAAAAATCACATTAAAAGAAAAAAAAAAGGCTTACAGGATTTAAAACAAGAGGAAGCAGACTAGGTGCATAAAAATTGAACATTCTTGAATAGAAATCAGCAGATACAAGGTGATAAGACACTTGGAACACCACAACTGATAAGAGAAAGTACCGAGATAGGCCAACTTGGCTTTTCAGACCAGGACTGGCTAAATGACGTTGCTTGGAGTCTGGATGAACAGACTAACTAGGATAGGATGGAGAAAGGAATAAACAATGAAAAAAACTAACTTTTCTGCCTTTGCTAAGCTGTGACTTAGGTAGCAAAAAGGAGTTATGAGGCCTCTAAAGAAGGCCCAAACCCAAAACCAAACTCACTGCCATCGAGTTGATCCCAACTCATAGCGACCTCTCCACCTTTCCTTGGGCTTCCGGGGCAGTATCTCTATGAAAGTAGATTGCCCAGGCTTCCTCCCGAGGAGTGGCTGGTGCGTTTGAACCGCCAGCCTTCTGGTCAGCAGTTAAAAATGCATTAGGCACTATGCCACCAGAGCTCCCAAAGGATGGCCCAGGCCCTGGTAATAAAATGGAAAGATAGCAGGAAAAAAAAGAGAAGCAAATCATAGAATGCCAGAACCAAATAATCAAGGCCAAGAATCAAGATGTCACCACAGAAATCTGGTTACAAGTAGCCCATGATATCTCAGTCTGGAGAGAATCCAAAAATGTACTAGTCTAGTCTCTCCCAGAGGACAGCAATAAATGGGCAATGCTTTTTCCATGACCAAGGTGCTCACCTGAGTGGGTTTTTTTTTTTTGAGATTTAGGTCATAAAACCGAGGAAAGTCTTGTTTCACCACACAGGTTTGAAATTCCAGAAAGGAAAAGTTCCCAGTTATACTAGCCTTTTGAAGATGGCCTTGCCCTCAAAACTGACCCTACTTTCTCCTCCTAGAAACTCCCCTGATACACCCCAGGCAACAATCTGTGAACAATATAGGCACTGACGGCCAAACATGCAGGAATAGTGATGTACAGATTAAAAAAGAAAACCAAAACACAGTTGCCACCAAGTCTACTGGACTCAGAGCAAACCCACGTGTGTTGGAGCAGAACTGTGCTCCAGGGGGTTTTCAAGCTGATTTTTCGATTCTTCAGAAGTAAATCACCAAGTCTTTCTTCTAAGACATCTCTATGTGTACTCAAACCACCAACGTTTGGTTGGCAGTCAAGTGCTTAACTGTTTGTGCCACCCACTGACTGATGTACACATAACTACTCAAATTCACTTAGAGCACCCTTCAAAGCTGACTGAAATGGATTTGACAAAGAAAAATACATGGCAGCACTTAGAAAGTACAGTGTTAGCTGAACAGGGAAAAGAGGAAAGGAGAAACAAGGGACAAAGGATGGAAGGAACTGGTACACCTGGTCTAGGACTTTAAAGCAAGTTGTAAAAAGTGAAAGTGATATATTCTGACAGAGACAAGCTATGGGCTTAGAACCTATCAGAGGATCAGAGATACAAATAGGCTGTTCATCTGGAAGAATAGAGTAAAAAAAAAGATGAAACAGAAGAAAGCAAGTAAGTGAAGATGTATGCCAAATTCCATAGATTAATACCTTGAAATGAATATATCGACAAAATACTAAAAAAGACATGGCAATGGTGTTTTAGGTACAACACCAAAAGCAAAAGCAACAAAATACAAGACAGATAAAATGGACTTCATCAAAATTTAAAAAAATCTATATAAAAGGGCATTATCAAGAAAAGGAAAAGACATGGTACAGAATGGGAGAAAATATTTGTAAATTACGTATCTGATAAGGGTTCACTATCCAGACCATATAAAGAACTCTTACAACTCAACAACAAAACGACAAACAATCCAATTTTTACAAAATGGATGAAAGATTTGAATAGACATTGTCTTAAGATATACAAATGATCAATAAGCACATGAAAAGATGCTTTGTATACCACTTCACACCCACTAAGATGGCTTTTATTTAAAAAAAAAAAAAAAGAAAAATAACTGAGTGTTGGCAAGAATAAGGAAAGGCTAGAGGGCACTGCAAAACATGCCAGGCACTGAATGATGGATGTAATTTATTGACTTAATAAGTTACTAGAATCAAATAGCTACTTAGGATTTCAGGGTGAATAATCAGCAAGGGAAACTATTCAATATGAAAGAGGTAAAGATAATGGAAGACGTCTGTTGTATCAGAGGATGCAGAAATAAAGATTTTATGAAAAGAGATATGTAGCTTGACTGGTAATCTTGAGAACACAGGAGGAAAAAGTTGTGAAGTAAGATAAGACAGTGAATGAAGGAAGCTCCTCAAGACAGAAAAGAGAGGACTTATTAGCACTAAATATAAAACCAAAACAATAAACAGAAAAGAATTAAACTTGGAGAAACAAGAGGGCAAAAAAAGAACATGAAGAGAGAAGGAACTTAGATATTAAATTCCTACAGAATACAAACTTGAGAAATGAAAAACGTAGGCATCATAGAGTGAAAAAGATGGTGACAGGGTAAAGACTACAGGAAGAAAGTGAGATGAAAAATACAGAACAAGTATTTTGGGTCCAAAGTAAGATGTCAGTGAGACTATTTACCATTATCTCTTCTCCTCAAATAAACTCTGAACTTTGTTTAATTTTGTTTTAACATTCCTAGAATACATATAAAATATGACATTTTGATTTTCATTGCGAGTCTGTACAAACTTAATTGATATAACTTCATAACTATGTTCCCATAAAAACTTAAGTCATGCCTTTAAGACATTTAATTCTTATTTGATAACTTAATAAAAGTAAAAGATCACAAAGGGAAGTAAATTGTAAAAAATAGAACAATCTTATAAACTACAGAGAAATGCACAATCTCTTAACCTCAATTTTTCTAAGATGTATTTTAGATATATAAATTGTGTTCATTCAGTTTTTTGTAAGTAAAAAGATGTAAATGGATCACTGTCACCATTAATAATGTGCCAAGTTGCCTAGATAGTTATCAAATTTCCTATGAATGAGAAGAAGAAGGAAAAAAAAAAACAAAAACAGAAGACAATTAAAGCCCATACCTGTTCCAATGTGCTGGGAAGGTTTCGTTGGATGCATGGCACCATGACAAACATTTTGTTGAACATTACTCTGTGAGTGAATAAGGCCAGTTTGTGTAAAGAACTGATTAAGAGAAGAACAGAGATCAGCAAATTGAACCTGATCTAAAGACCAGTTCTTGAGATCTGCCTGTCTCATACTCTCCATCAAACCTATGAGGAAAGCATTAGAAATTCAGTTAGCACAGTTCTGCAAGCATTACAAGACAAACAGTCAGATAACATTTTTTTGTGTGTCCATAAAATTTCTACGGATTCACTGAGGATTATAGTAGTGATTTGCTTATGTTATGAAGAATAACATCTTAAAATTATTCACAGCCTGATTCTTTTAAACATGGCCAAATTTCTTTGAGAGCTTTTGTCTGTGAAGCCATGCTATATCAGTTGGTCCAGAGACTTTACTGTAAATTTTACAAGATGTTGTTTTTAAGCTTACTATCATTTGCAAAAGAAATGTTATATAAGAGGATGCTTATTTCTATTTCAAAGAAACTTATCATCTACTAGAGAAAAAAAGATCAAGTACATTTGGTTATATATCAAAAGGATTCACACTCACCTTGAAACTGTGAAAGGTCTACATCTGACCAATTAACACTGCTGGCAATTCGACAGCTTTCTTTCAGCATATCAAGTGTTGCATACCAATCATTTGAAACACCTATCAAAGCAATATTGACAAGATTATAAATCATGGATGGTGGAAGTTTTGAAGTGTATTGCTAAGGGAAGACAATGAGTTAGACTTAACCCTGACATTGGCAGATCTCTGTCCAGTTTTATAAAGGAACTCATACTCATTATTTCTTATGTTGGGATGATATGCTCTGGGAAGAAGGGTATTATTTCTCACCATTTTGTAAATAAAGGAAACCAAACCCAAAGAAATGGTATAACTTAGCAAGATCACCATAATGAATCTAGGTTTCAACTCAGGTCTTCTAAGCTCTAGTCTGGCAGCTTGCAAATTGCCTATCATCTTATGTTGTCAAATGTGATACTGTGCTGCACCTTTATATAGTACACATAAATGACCATAGGACAAGTCATTCAAATGCATTTTTCCCTATATAAATTTTTCCTTTCTTGTTATATTTTCCTTTCTTGTTATGACTTTAAGAGACATGCTCTTCATAACTTACAGAGGTAGTAGGCTCATGTTTGTAAGTAACACAGAGCATAACTTATTAAAGCATCAGTTTATTTTATATAATCACACCCCCACCCCCAATGCTATGAGGAATAACCAGAAAAGAGTAAATCGGTGTTAAAAAAAAAGAATAAAAGGGAGGTCAATCACAGTGTAAACTAAGAGTGGATACTTCTTACAAAGCAGCCTTAGGGGAGAGAACACCTTAAAACAGTCCTCCTGCTAAGGTAATGAAGAAGAGAGGGCTGTGACCTCTGTAAGAAAATGTAATGAATCCAGGTCAGGGCATTTCTAGTCAGGAATGGTCTCCTCTGATGTGGTATCATTAAGACAGTTAAGACTCCTTATAATGCCAGCCAAATGGTCACCAGTCAGAGGCCATGGGGCAAGAGATAAACTCAATGAGATAGTGCTAAACAGAGGAAGAAAATCCTCCATTCTGTGACTGGTGTCTGTATGGATTAAATTATGTCCCCCAAAATATGTGCTGTAAATCCTAAACTCTGTATTTGTGGTTATAATCACATTTGGGTATGAGTTCTTTGTTATGTTAATGAGGCAGGATTTGTGTAGAGTGCAACTCTTTTGAGATACCAAAAAAAAAAAAAAAAAAACAAGATGTTGAGTTGGATCCGACTCATAGCGACCCCTCCTTGGGTTTCTGATGTGGTATCACTATGTAAGTAGATTGCCCAACCTTCCTTCTGAGGAGTGGCTGGTGGGTTTGAACTCCTAGCCTTCTGGTTAGCACTCAAATGCCTTAGGCACTGTGCCACCAGAGCTCCTTTTTGAGATATAAAAGAGATTAAACAAGCAAGCAGAAATCACAGGGACCTACTACCCCCAAGAAAGAAGAGCTGGAATGGAGTATGACCTTTGGACCTGGGATCTATGCACTGGGAACTGCCTAGATTGATGTCAAGACATGTGGAGATCTTGGGATACTGGGTCCAGAGATGTTTAAAGAAGACAGACCTTCCTTCGGATCCAACAAAGACAGAAAGCCTTCCTCCAGAGCTAACACCTTGATTCCAGACTTCCAGCCTCCTAAATTGTGAGAGAAAAAGTGTGTCTTTGTTAAAACCATCCACTTGTGGTATTTCTGTTATAGTAGCACTTGATAACTAAGATAGCTTTA